AGCGTAGCTTCGAAGCGTACAATGCAACAAAAGAAACTAGAACATCCCGCAGATTGGATAAACTGTTAGAGAGGTTGCCACGAGTTCCAAGGATTTAGTTTATGGGCTTGAAATCAACGATTCATGGTAAGATGAAAAGTTTATTGTTTGTGAAATTCGTTCTGTTGGATCATTATCCGAACAAGATATAAGGAAAGTAGAACGTATCGTACAGTGTGGCGTTATTATCAGCTTACTCTTACGCGACACGACCAATAATTTCTTGCCACGGCAGACTATTGTTGCCTTTATTTGTCACAGTGCAAAAACCGAACAGAACGGAACGTTTAGTCCGCGGATAAAAGAAAATCTGCTTATAGCACGGAAATCTTGGAAATTGATGTCAATGTCGTCGTCGTTTTTATCGTTGGCCGAGGTATGCGCCGGACGATTTCAGCGTCGTCGAACGGAGACAAGGGAATCGAGTTCCGGGAACAATGGACGTCTCGACCACAGCCACTGAGCGTCCCGAAACCGCAGTTTCTCTGATCGTTCGGTAGCCGATTCTTGAAAACCACGGAAACCGATGATTTACGGTTAGCCATTGAGACCGCATCTTTATCCGGATCCATTATACGGCCGCTTGGATATTTACGATCTCTTATTTACACATCGAGCCCCTCCGCGGCAAATGGAGAAACGGGGAAGCGCAACCGGCGCGAGAACGAGACGAAGAAGGGGTTGGATGCTCGAAGGGGGTGGATTATTTACGGCGTAACGGTCTTCCGGGGGCTGTTGTCTTCGTTGTCAGGTAGGCGGATCGGACGTCTGAAGCAATTTGCATTTATTTGCGGGTTCCTGAGAACGCCCCCTTTCATGGCTCCCCATGAGACCAGATACGTATCGCCTCCGCTGTTTCACACTTACGCTGGCCAGGAGCCGTTGTTTTTTGCCCTCGATATTATATCGGGATCAGTTACCTCGTGTCGGAGTCCGCCGCTTTTTTCGTCGTTCGAAACAGCGCCTGGAAATTATTCAAATTCCAGATTATCGATCCAAATTAACCCTTCCTATTCCATAAGTCATTTTACTCGAATGCATTTCGAAGAACATTAAAATTACCCTTTGTTACGTAATGTGATCAATTGGCAGGTTGAGGGCCATAGTGGTGTAAGTCCAAATTTGAGTTAACACTCAAGCTGTCTTCTATTTATTATCAAAATCGATTTGCTTGTAAGTGTATACTCCATCGAGAAATGGCGAAACTTTTGTCTGTCACTAAACAAAGTTAGCAAAGCATTTCGAACCATAGTGGTGTAAGCTCACCTTACAGTCTATTATTAAATACTTCTACATAAAAGTTAAAGAACATATTATATTGTACGTTGAAAATTATTACTCATTAAAAATGTATTTTTAGGGAGAGTTGTAACATTTTCTCTGTCTTCCATGTTTTGCTAATAACTCAAGTATCACTTGACATAGAATACCGTCAGATAATCAGGTAACATTTTCGTACAACAATCTTCATTGCAAGTGTAATGATTTTTGAGTTATCGCGTTCCAAAGTCAAAGTGTTACTATTGACACCGGCCCTCCCCTACGGAGGGTAACGTTCGAGCAGACTACACGCCGAAAACAAACATACAAACGGGTCCCTTTCCCAATAATGGAGGCATTCCCGTAAATCAATTACGTCCTCGTCCCTCCTCCCCCGAATTCTCCGCTTCACGCTCGACAATCAGCGATATTGTGACGATACCGTGACGATCTCGACGCGACCTTGAAGAAGTGGCTCTGTGCGGTAATCCTCGGGAGCTACCAACTGGCTAAGATCTCTTTCCCTCTCCCTTTTTCTCTGTCTGGCCCTCGTAGATGGTCCGAGATGAGTAGCATGAAGACATTAGGGAGTTTGTTTTGTCCTCGCCGCGGGACACCGTCGACCGGGGCAGCCCCGTTAAAAGTAACGCCGTATTACTTCGCCGGGAAGGCCCGGCGGGTGGTCCATCGCCAGTTTCCTTCCGCTTTTCCGTCACCTTCCGCGTGTCAATGCGCGTCCTCTCTACAGCGGCCTTCTGTTTGGCCATTCTCGCTCTACGGAGCGCACAAACAGACCGATAATAAACATTGATGGAGCATCAGCGGCCCCGCGCGGTTCCTACGCCGGTGGAACAATGTCCACCCCTGACTCTCCGAGCTTTTTTCCTACCGGGCTTTCCCCCGGACGCTGATTTCTCATGGAACGAATCAACGCCCTGACGACCTACGCTCCTGGAAATCGAAGGGGGTCCTTGCAACCATTATTCGGAAATAAGCTGACGCGGGGGACGAGCTTGCAGGGGCCTAGTTGCGACTCGAATTGATTTACTTCCTCCTCGGCAGCAGGGATAACCAACGTTATTATCTAGATACCGATCAACCACTGTCGATACGTTCTTTGTTCGATAAACGTCACGATCAAAGTGTCTTCGTACACCCCCTGGTCATTTTGAAGAAAGCAAACATTTCGTATGTTATTAACCTATACAAAAATGTATTATACAAAGATGGAAACAATAAATGTTCGAATAGAGATCTACCTAACTTTATCTCGGTTGCTCTGGGACCCCTAAACGGGGACCGCGACGTCTAATCGACCAATGAATTCCAATTTGCCAGTGAATTTGCAAATAAAGCGGGAAAGAAAGTTAATTCGTTGCCCGCGAGTAAAATTCTCTCGCCTCTGTCGCGTAAGATAATAAGAAACCTCCATATTTAACCGCCGTTTATCCGAAAGTTATCCTAACGTGAACTCGGACATTTCGAACGGCAAGAAAATGGAAAAAGCGGAACTCATCGGGTCTTCTGATTCGATTAGACTTTTTACGTCAATATCGGGCGTCACGTCCTGTTTGAAACTAAGCATTGTCATTTCCTCGATAGGAAAAAGGAACGGTGGGCCTAAGAAGCGAAAGCTGGAAGTCGATGGACTGTGATCATGCATTAATGACCGACACCCACCGCTTGGGGGACGGTTCGAAACGAGTCGTGTTATTTGCGATCGTCGCTTGCTTAACTCGTTGCCGCTTCACTACGTTGATCAACACCCACGACGGTTTCGGGAATTTAGTTTTGCATCTCTACACTACAAGTTAATAAAAGTTATTATTAGATTGTGGATGCTTGTGCGCGAAAAATGGGGTGCATAGTCCAAACCATTGTAACGTTTCTATTTGGTTTTGGTAAGAAACGAAAATATCAAGTAATTTTTTTATTATAAAAATTTTTCACGAAAGAACCACTTTGAAATTATGACCAATACTGTGTGTATGAAGTGGAGCATAGGAATTAATTGAACTTGAATGCTTAGAAAGCAATGTCACTTACTGGCAGAAATGAGTCTTATAAACAGTACTCCAAAAGAGAAATCGTTCAGAAACCTGAATCAACGACATGACAGCACCAAAAAGAATATGTTAGCAGCATTTAATAATTTTAAATTGTCTAAATAAGAACAAAAATATTCTGTTAAGAGGAAAAAGAAAAAGTAGCATCATCGGATATGGAGAAGAAATAAAACAGCATATTTGAAGGAGATATAGGAATTTATGAAATTTAGTAACGCAGCGAGCAGTGATAATTTAAACAAATATCGAGAAAATCATTAGACATAGAAAATTAGCATAGCAATCAACGTGTTACGGATAGTTTGTTGAGCTGTTAGCGCAGCAGAACGGCTTTCCAATTTCCTTGATCGAGAAAGGTTTTTTTCTCTTCGATTTCGTTGGCCAAACGATTTAATTGTTCACAGTAGCGGTCAGCATTTACTGTTTCTTCCGGTTCTAAGAGCTCGAAACGGGGCACACATAATATTATACAAAATTGTTATTTACTTTCTTCAACCCTTAAGTGGATTATTGGGGCCTCTGCAAGTTTAAAATAATAATTATTTAATACATGTCAATGTAATTGTGTAAGTTTTATTGTTTTAAATGCTTTAAAGGAAAGTTGATTTCCATTTACCAATTTAATAAAAATTAAGTCCAGTTAAGGGTGTTCGAACACTTTCATGACAAACTATACATGGTCAAAATCTTATCGTCTCATATTTCTACCCTATCTCGTAATCCTCCTCTACTTGTACAAACGAATAATTAAAATATTAACATAGTTGAAAAGTATACAGCCTGGTTTCAACCCACGAAAAAAATGTCCATATAATTGAAAATGATATTTTTATTCTCCGACCATCCCCATCGAAGCTGGATCCCGCCCTGGTCTCGGTTGGCAAAATAGCGCGCGAAAATCGTCGGGGTATCCCCTACCAAAGCGGTATCCAGAAAAAGGAGCATTCGTCCCAACGACAGCATGGTCTCCGCGGGCCTCCCCCGCAGGCTTCCACTCATGCGCGGCTGGGCGTGCCTTTAGGGGCGCGACAAGGGAAGCCTCTCGGTGCATGGATTGGCTGACCAAGCCGATGAAACAGGTACGAAAGCGGCTGGAGCACGTTATCCTCGCCAGCTAACAGAGGCCAGCTTGGACTAACATCTCGACCAGGTTCCCCCGCCATCGGCTGGTCTCAGGAAGCACGCGATGGGAGTGGCCAAGCGTTAGTTACCTCGGTGCCGAGAGGTAGAGGAGGCTAGTCAGGATCAGGAAGCCGACTGTCGAGGTTCAGCCAAGTTGTCGAAGGACTTCGGGTTTCGAGGACACAGGTGTCTGGCCGCGATCCAAGGACAGGGGGCTCGCGACGGGACTGGATCGCGTGCAGATCGATCCTGAACAGCGTGGCGCGAACAAGTGACCGATCCTGGAGGCGTCGAGTGACAGTTACTCTCGTTGGCGCGATCCTGATACCAGAGATCGCGTTCTACCTTCGATACTTGCGTACGTTCGGTCTCCAGAACTGTTTCGATCAGTGTCTATCGGTCTGGTGATTTAATCGTTTTGGTGAACGCGATTCTCGCAAGGGAGGGACACAGTGCTGTGACAGCGTTTGTTGCGTTTTGTGAGCGGAAAACCGGTAGCGCTGACGCGCTGAGATGACGGTGACCACTAACTTTTCGATGATGCGACCCTGCTTCACTGGATACCCCTTTCAAGGTGAGGGTTGCGTTGGATCAAAAGTCCCTACACCTCGTTTTACAGATGTTAAAGATCTCGTCTCTGGAACAAGGATTTTCCAAACAGAGAGTAAACGTTTTGTTTAAAGAGTTAAACCTGGGGAACTTCTTGGGTAACCAGCGAAGTTAGTCCAAGCTGAAAGAAGGTCCTTGATTGAATAAATTTCTGATAGATTAAAAAGGATCTGTGAACGGAGAAATTTAAAAGTTCGTAGTAGGAAGGTGAAAAAGTTGGGAGGGACAGTAGGTTGCATTAGAATTGTGCAATATTCCGTCGAGGACCATTCAGAGATCAGAATTTTACAACCGACCTGGTGGCAGGAAGATCCTCCAGATTCGACCGACAGGATATCCTTAAGATTTTAAACGGGGCATTGATATATAACCTTACCTGACCCGAGAAGACCGGAACATTACCATTAATGACCACCATAAATAATGAAATTTGTCGAGTTTTGCCGTCGCTTTCGGGAAACTCGAAGTCGTGCTCGTTTCGACAGTTTTTTTTCGTCGAGGTAAAAAATTTGTGGACTCGTCTGCAAACCCCCCCTCGACTTAACTTTTAAGATTACTTTGTAGCCAAAGAAAATATTCCTCAATCAGTCGTTTAAAAACAATTATTGCACCGTGTAATGTTTGCACTGTCTATTTGAATACTTCATTAATCATCGTTTCCAGTTAGTAGTGTCAATAGTAAGATATAGTTACGCATCATTAAAATTTTCTTATCGATACTGCCGCCCCGTTTTCAGTTTCCACTCTAATGGCGAACGAAGCAATTAGAAAATCCCGTATTTTTGCAGTTATTCTGCAGAGTTTTTTTTTCGTAAACCATCCGGAAATCGAGAATCGACCGAGTAATCGTCGAGTTTGTTCGGTATTGTCGGTTTCCGTGGCCGGCAAATGTCCGGTGCCGACTTCACCGAGCAACTCTCCACGAAAGTTTCAAGAATAGACTTCGTGACCCTCGTTTATTACCTCGTAAATTTCAATATTCTTCCGTGAAGTCGACTTTCCAACGTGTCCCCTCGATCGCGACGACCTCGAGTCCGTTGAAAATTATTTAATTGAACGTCACATTAGAACCGTGCTTCGAGCGACAAATTATCGGTTAAAATATCCTAATATCCGTGTCACCCGTATCGGTTTTCTTTATATCGTCCTCGGGTCGCGATAATTAAAAATAATCAAGGAACAGTGTATTCAAACCGTGAAGAATTCCAGAATATGTTCACGCCAATCTAAATAATTACCGTAGTAAATAATAGTAAACAGTCCCGGTGGAATTTCATTCCAAGCAATAAGGGACGATAATTAGACAGATTGGAAACGAAGTTAGAAGCAATTCTAATGCAAATGGGTACTCCGTATCTGAATTTTCCATTTACATTTGTTGCTTATGCGCTTCATGGATCATCATTTGTCACTGTCCGGCATTACGCGTCGAGCGCGCGAGTTTAATTGCAGCCGACAATTAGTCAACGAATCGTTTGTGCGACTTGTATGCAAAATGGAAGCGTTTAACGCTCGTGGAACGTGTAATTAAATATTCCTGGAAGATTAATAATGTTGCGGGCGCGTTTCTCGCAATTACGCGCGTTGCACTTTGCATCGGGTATCGTTAATTATTTTACTACATGTTGAAACGTTAAGACGTGAGAAGCAGGAGGGAAAATCTCGGTTAACTTCTCGGAAGTTGCTTTCCTTTATCGACCGTTAATTGCAAAGATGGGCTCGGGTCCGAGCTTTCGAATCATTTTCTTAATTATCCTCCACGGGCGTGACGATTGCCAGTTTCCGACGATGCTAACGTTAATTAAATTTCAAATCTCGCGGCAACGCGATAAGCGATGTTACAGGAACGGCCGAAGAATGTAATTACGACGATAATCACCGTATTTAGAATTACAGCAGCAATTACAAACGTTCGTTATTTAATTCCTGTAGAAATACTGGTAGGTTAGTTTTTAAGTAATTACGTGTATATTGTGCATGAAAATAATCATTAACAATTCCGAATAAATCTGTATAATTAAATTTTCCAGCCTTGAAACATGACATCGTCGTTTATGAGATTGATGCGTGTCGTTGGTCAGTATCAATTTCAGTTTGTACTGATTTCAATTAATGAAACTTACCGAAAGTGTTTCGAATATCACAGAATGATATTTTCTTCTAAATATTTGGTAAAAATGAAAGAGTTGGTACGCTTCTTTGAGACAAAACAAAGGGTACACTTTTCACTTTTACTACTGTAAATAAAACATACAATAAGCTTTACGTGTATGTTAAACGCGAGAAAAGAAAATGGCGCTGCTCTCATCCGTAGCGTGTGCAGTACCCTGGCGGTAGAGTTGGGAAAATTTTAGTCACGAATAACAAACACCTATAAATTTCGTCATTCGCTGGTTTTTCACTAATAATAATAATTAAATAATTAAATGGTAAATTCAGAAAAAACTCAGAGAGCACAAGGGGAGGGGGCTAACAAAAAAATTTCGAACAAAATTAGAGAAGTCCAATTTTTAAGATCGTTAGCCATTAGAAATCGCTTCGATTGGAATTCAGATAATAGATTTCTCTGATCAATGAAAGAGGGGGGTTTTAAGCCCTTTTAACCCCCTCCTCCACGTATCTGCTTCTGAACGTAGTATTAAAGGAAATTACAGCTAACGCGTCTCTGCAATTTGCACGAACGCTTTGGCTGTACCGAATAACATTCAGTTAATATTTTACGATTAGAAAATTACAGACGTCGTGACACAATTTCTACGCAAGATACCAAATAATGCATGGCGGACGCCACGTCCATTTTGAACTGAATCTGAATTTTACTATTTCGCATTCCAATGCAATTTCTGCGTTCTCGTATCTGCAAATTCATTATTTCTCAGCGTTGTTAATTTTACAAGCTCGCTCAATATTAATATTCTTATAGTTATTCATTAAAAACTAGAAATTTACAACTCTGAAAGAATTTGACGAGCTAGAATCAATCGAGTCTGTTTCTCGTATCTTTTAATGCATTATGAACACAATCTGGCAGTCTTATTTTGAGTAATTTTCAAAACGACCCAATAATCTATAAAATAACAAAAGAAAATTGATTCGAAAAGGTATATGTGAATTTGAAAGGAAAATTTCTTGCAATTGGACACACAATAATACATATCAGAGTGACTGGAATATTAAACTGTGAAATAATTATAGAATCTTATTATCGTTGACAATAGCTTTTGACAAATATAAAAATAGCGTAACTTAAAAATTACCATATCTAAATTTGCCAGGTTTAGTTGATAACATTACTATATTTCCACTTACACTTGAATTTATATTCTCGTAGGAAATCTATATTTTCCAATAATTATATTTTTTACCTACTTTTTGAAAATGTATGTCTCGAGGAACATGCGTTAAATGTAACTTATGTCACGCATGCCTAGTTAGAAAACTCGTGACGCGAAAAAAGTCGAGCGAATTAGCGAAACAATTAGCAGCAGTTCTTTCGAGTACGGAAGGTTTTCGAGAAAAAATAAAACCGCGACCATTATCGCGTTCCGTTGTGGGTTTTTCGGGCCGTCGCGTCGTGTGCACCCGAGCCGGTGCATAACTCTGGTTATGCAATCGAGCACGGATTCTGCGCAATTGAAATCACCGTTTCGCTTATTTATTTTTATCCGTCGCTCTCGCCTACTTTTTTTTCTTTTCATTTTCGTTACGTGAACGACTCGCTTATTCGGTCCGTTCTTTCGTTCGTTCTTCTTCCCGCGTCAAGGTGATACGATTTCTCGCAGATCACCGTGGGAAACCGATCAGTATCCAACCAGCAACAATGTTTAAACAACAACGGAACCATCGTTTGGTAAACCAAATACAATTTCAAACTGCGAACAATCAAAGAAAAGATCGAACAATAATAAATCGACACAGACTTGGACACCACGAATCAACACATTCTAAAATGACTGAATGATTAAAGTGGGCACTAAATGACGTTGAATCGTGCAAAAAAAATTACAATTTTTAAAGAAACAGGAATCGTGCAGAATTATAAAAACAAAACCGAATTCTCATCCTTTTTCCCATGTAATTCTGAAATTTTCTGCCAGCAACTTTTACTATTAAAAGCGAGGAAATTTCATTTGTTCCAAATTAATACCGTGAATGTTCTGCAATAATGCTGCAGAGTGTTTTTTATTGAATTTATCGTTTCGACTTCGAGGAATGCGCCAAAAAACACTTGCCCTCAACGGATAGTATTGCATTTTAATTGCAACAACTATTTAGCAATCTTTATCAAAAGAAATTTCTTTATTTCGTTAAAGCTTAAGAACAAGAATACGAAAGATGAAAATATCGTTTTCGATTTTATTGTTGAATCTTGGAAATTTGTTGTATCAAAGTTCTATCCAATAAGCGCTTCAATATCCAAAGAAGAGACAGATATATTTTATAAATCATCACAATTTATTCCTTCTGAAAATGGCCTCAAGCGGGTGGAATAAATTTCTTGCAATAACCGACGTTTCATAACGAATGTTTTCCTCGTGACAGGCATAACACCTTCGTTGTTCGTCATTCGAATTTATTCCGAGTTGTATATAATATAGATTTCTTCGAAACTAGAATTGCGAAACTTACGTTAAACGGTATTTGATAAAAATCAATCGCTGGGAGAAAAACAGGGAAAACCGCAACTTCGTTGCGAAGATCGCGAAAAAATTACAATTGCTCGAAGTCAACTCGACCGTGTGAATATTTTTTTTTTTTTAATCACGGTAACTCGCGATTGATTATTGCGAGGCGAGTGGATCTGGCGCAGGTATCGTACGGTGTCGAATAATTAGTAATAATAATTCTTTATTCTTTTTTTTTTTTGTTTTCGTAACGTTTCGCATCGGCGAGCAGAGTTTGTGCTCGATCGTCGCCGGGAGACTCCGTTTTTCCTTTCATTACTGCGTTACAAAAATGAGTCACACGCGTATCAGAGGTTTTTGCGCGTTCGATCGCGATCGATCCAGTTACCGTAATATTTGTCACGACTATTTAGTTGGAAGTTTGCCGTTTCACGCGATCGAGGAAAGAACGCCGCTGTTACGTTCGAATTAACACTCGTGTTTTTTAATTCGTTTCAAGGCTTTCGAGGAAAACGAAAAACCCGTCGCTCAAAACTTTGATAAAAAAATCTGGCTTCATCGTCGAACGGGGGCCTGGGAACCTAAATTCTGGGACATTAACAAATTATAGTAGTCGAGGAATTAAGGAACAGTTATCGAGGGAGTTGCTAATAATGTTTCTGCAAATTCTAAAATCGTTCAGAGGTCAAAGTACATGTCTAGATTCTTTATAAATTAACTTAACTTAAAAATAGATAAGGCTGATTAGTTGATAACGTATTCATCAGTAAGCATCCTTCCTTATTTTTAAACATCGTTTTCCATGTTTTCGAGAAAGTATGGTTAGTCTTATGTATGAACGTTTAATGACCAGGCTTGGAACGTTCACCTCGTCGACGCAGTTCAAGGAATTGGCGGAGATGACTCCGCGAACAATATCGAGGGAAAAGTAGCGAACATTAACGAGGGACTACTGTACTTGCAGCAGAAGCGTTACCTCCACAAACCTCCAAAGCGAGTAACATACTCAACATACTCTCGATTAGAATACCGTGCCATAACTTGATAATCCGCAACAAATGAAACGAAACGAACTGTTACGCAGTCTGATAAATTACGACCTGTGTCAGGCATCGAACTATACGAGTAGCACGGACAGAGACAACCGGTGATAGAATACACGATGAATAAATCGTGTTGCATAGTTGCTTCGAATTCGATTTTCGTATACATTAGGCAGTTCCCCTCCCCGGAGAACTGTTCAATTATTAATATGGAAAGATATCCGATATAAACCATTCGTTGCTAGTCAAGGTAAAAATTGTCCTTCAATTATGGATATTTCTTCGCAATTTCAGAGTGATTGCTTTCAATATTAATTACGATAACTTAAAATCTGTCTAGTCCCCGTACGGGGTTAAGAATAAATCTTAATTGTTGTAATATTCGTCGATGTTTACATCGCCGTGAGCTACCTCTTGCCCAAAGGCCTGTATTTGAGCGGAAAGAGCGGGGCAGAAGTTCGAATTAAAAAGGTGGAATAGAAAATTGCAAGGCAAATAGTTCGTTCCGATCATAATCGCATGACGTAGATCGCAGTCAGCCAGGCAAATTATACGCTATCAGTGTTGCGTACGTCGTAAACCCTTAGATTCATTGGTCTTATCGTTATTTATGGGACCATGTGCCAGCCAATAACTCTTTCCTTCTCGGCTGCCTCTCTTTCTTCCTCCTTTCCCCTTTCGTCCTGTTTCCCCTCGACAAGCAGGAAACACGTCGAGGTGAAGGTGGAACGATAAATCCAGGTTTCTCTTTATTCTCCATCGAGTAACTGTTCTCTCGCCTCGTTCGCGCGCGGAAACAAAAGGATCCGCGATTTCGTAAGTAGCCTTCGATCGACGAGCCCGTGTGCTCGGAAAAACCACGGATCCTTTCGAAATCGCCTGAAGCAAGGGGTTGGAACAGGAAAAAAAATTCCTTAATCGATTTCTGCCATTGAAAGAAAAATTTAATTGGTAAATTTCGTTCCTAATATTTATTCACCATTTTAATGGCTACTTCCACGTTGCAATATACCAAATTATTTTCCTTATTTTTGTACGTAGAATTAGCCCCTGACACTTTCTGTCATCTGAAAATTCAACTCGTGTCCATGTTTTTAAATTATATTTTCTGAAGCAAGGGTTGACGGTGCAAGACAATTGGAAACTTTGTTCCCTTTAACATCTAATCTCAGAGAATTAATTTTTTTTGGTTCCTCAGTGAAAATTTTTCGAATTGCTTTAATCGTTAAATTCAGTTCGCTAAACGAAGGAAAGTAATTTTCAAAATTTCCTCGTAAGGATTGATAAATCCAAAGTTCGAAGTTCTAATCGGTTGGGTAAACGTTTGTATGTCTGGTAAATGAATCCTGTTCTGATTTCGACTAATTTCTGACGCAGATTTGGGATCGATACCAGGTCAGGGGCGCGTCAATCAGCTCGGCGGCGTCTTTATAAATGGACGCCCGCTACCGAATCACATTCGTCTGAAAATCGTCGAGATGGCTGCTGCGGGTGTCAGGCCTTGCGTTATTTCAAGGTAAACAAGCAATATTTGAACTCAGAATATATAAAAATATCATTGAAAAGTGGCTCGAAACATATTAACCTTGCAGCACATATAAGAACGTCTTACATTTCTATTTCAACTTTTATTTATACTTGTTCTATTATTATAATCAGTATCATCGAATATCGTATATTATTTACGATAACGAGTGCTATAAATCTGCGATGCATCGAACCACTGTATTTCTCGTTTCCGGTTCTGTTGTTCGTGCAAAAAATTAGACCTAATTGTTGTTTTCCACTTGAACAGGCAGTTGAGGGTGTCGCACGGTTGCGTCTCGAAAATTCTAAATCGATACCAGGAAACAGGAAGCATCAGGCCGGGGGTGATCGGCGGTAGCAAGCCGAGAGTAGCCACGCCGGAAGTCGAGGCCAGAATCGAGGAATATAAGCGCGACAATCCGGGTATATTCTCCTGGGAGATTCGAGACAGACTCATCAAGGAAGGAATCTGCGACAGGACCAGCGCACCGAGTGTTTCTGCGATCTCCAGGCTCCTCAGAGGCCGCGATCCCGAAGACGAGACGAAACTCGGCGATGGTAAATTTCACTTTCAATAATCACATTTTATTTTCATTTGAAATCTCTCTATCCGATTCGAAACGTTAATTTATTCATTTCGTGCCCCCTTAGAAACTCAATTTAAATGCTACCAAACTATTTGTAGAAATTAATACGAGCTTGCTCGAGGGTTGTTATCTTCGATCATTTATTATTTTTATATTTAATAAGAACTGGTACATCTAGAATTAAACACAATTTTTAAAAAGGCGAACAAGATCCAACGGACCAAATAAAACTTCCTTCATTAATATTGAAATTGGAATTATTTTAATCAGCCCCCGGGGTCGACTTGCAAAAATCCACGCATTTCCATTTAGACTTTCGCCTTTTGAGATTCAAGTTTCTGGTCGGCCGCAAAATTGCATATTAAAATACTGCGACGTTTTCGCGAACGCTTTGACAAAAACTTCTTCGATCGAGAGCACGCTGGGCTCGTGTCTTTTCTCGGCCGCTCTGACCAAGATTGATGATCCACCTGAATCAGTGAATCAGCCTCTCGCAAATATTCCCGTGGCAGCGCCATCGTGCAAAATTAGATTATAACAACACACCGGCTCGTAATTTCGTCCTCGAGGCTCTCGTTACGCGAGGTCCCTCCAAATTGAATCGGCCATCTTTTTTTTTTGCACCACCTAATTTTCTTCCGCCAGAGTTTTGTTCATCGTGTTTATATAAATGATTTGATTTACAGTCGATATTGTTAACCGAGATAATATCGTTTCGTGAATAAATTTTTAAATCGTGCGAGAGGATCTCTGGATCCTCGAAGTGACGTTGATATTTGAATTTTCGAAATGGAAAAATTCGACAAAAAGCATGTACGCGATAAAAGCGACTATTAGAGTAAAACAGCATCCTGCGCGGGTAATACTCGATCCCAGGGGAAATTATAACGCTGGGAATTACGAGGCAGATCAAAAGTGGAGCTTAGCGGAGTAGTTCGCAGTTAATTCGCTACTCGAAGCTGAAACTTTGCACCGTGACTCTTTAATCATCGCGGAGGATTCGAAAAAGTGTTTCTTAGTTACCGTATACCGACTTCCCCCCAATTTATTTTTAACTTTAACTCGACCTCGCGATACAAAGATTTTTCGTTTGAAATTGCCGCGTTTCCCAGCGATCTCGAGGATCGATAAAACGTTAACGGGGGCCGTTTACAAAGTTCCAAGCTTACAATGTTGTTTCACTTGTATCATTTACCTGGGGCTACAGTTACGTTTCGCTATCGATCAAAAACTGTTCTGGACACGTTTAAACTCTCCACTCTGGTAAAGAGAATTGTTCGCCGGCCCGAAACAGGGGCTTTCCATAACTCGTATTATAACGCGTATTATTTTGTGATATGTATGGAAGTTGGAATAAATTCACGGTGATTCAATGGGAGATTATCGAAGCAAACTAACTCAAAAGGATTCTTTTTAAGAGCGGCTAACAACACGTTAAAAAGATTTACTCCATCCATGTGTCACGTGTACTGTATTTCAACTCGTATGTAAGAATTTTTGCCTTTTATCGAGTCGATTCGCCCTTCCACCTTCGGTGCATTGCTGAATGTACAACGTAATAGCCGCAACCGATCCTGAATAGGAAAATTGAGAAGTCGGACTTAGTAGCAAGCTTGCTCGACGATGACACGCCCCATCAGCTGGCCGTTAGACCACCAAGGATTCGAGCAGGATCTGAAAAAACGATGAATGAATAAATTAAATGCTAGCGCATTAATCAGCCTCGCGTTTCTCGATCTTAGAAATTACCGGTTCTCGTTCGCCGCGGCGAACAGTCGGTAGCCGGCCCCGGCTCTGTAATTTTCTCGCCGCCCGGTACATGCCCACGTGCACACGACCGAATGTTCGATAGGTGGTATCGGGATTCACGAGAGGATCTGGAAATCCTTCGATCGAACGGTCCTGCTCCATTTGTTGCAAGTCAATTCAATCCTCTATCGCGTAACGCAAGTAATGGGGGGGAAAATATTCATTGTTCTAGGTCAGAATTAACTCGTCGAGTGCCAAATTATTGTTTGGTTTCCTTTTCGAGATTGTTAAACAGGAAAAATAATTATGTTGTAATATTATAATATTCAGGCATTCGATATACGAGTAACAGTATATATATACTGTATACTTCTGTAAATATAATTTTTATGGAAGATATAATACTTCGAGTCGAATTAGATGGAAAGAAGGTGTAAAATGGGAATATAGTAATTATGGTAGATAGAAGGAAATATATTGCAACCACCATTACAAACGAAGTCTTGCTATTTAAAATATAGTTGTTAAAATTACCATGAATCTAATCGATAAGAAAAAATTGAATGAAACGTGTAAGATATTGCAACAAACGCGGAGAGTTTCTCACGATTCGGTTTCGTTTCCACCCCCTTAACGACAAGACAAATGAAACTTGTACCGATGGCAGTGGTCCGCTGTGGGATCGTTCGAGAACTCTCGCCGGCAAAGATGAAAGAGCAAAACGAGAAGAAACTGCCCTGTAGATTTGTAAGTCGATCAGCCCGATGGTCGGCCGCCCTTTCAAAACAAAAAGAGGAGGGCAAAAACAACGGAGGGGTGAGAAACTTAAAAAGGGCCCACCGACCATTGAACGCTTTTGGTTGTCAAACCACCGAGAAAATACAGTTCTTGCGTTGCTCTGTCGTTCAAGGAGAGAAACGAACTTCTAAAAATTGCAAACAAATAATAATAATAATTTATTCGATTTCCAGTTGTCGAAGAGATCGAATTTAAGAGTCTTCTATGTTACTGAAAATGATAATATAACGCAAAAATAATTGATAAGGGGTTAAAAGAAAAACCACACGTGTCGTGTCTTCATCGATGTCTTCCGATCCACGTTATAGGATCGCGTCGAACGAGCAACCTAGTAATCTCTCAACCCCTGGCGGTAATGTCGGGGTTCGAAAGTTTGGTAATTACTAGCCGGTAGCGACCGCTTAGTCCCATGAAGGTTACAATTTTTGTCGTGATTTTGTGAATTTACCGGGTTCGTCTTCTACAAACCATTTAAACGGACCCAAAACTTCAACGAAAGAACGATTTTTCACAGTTCCCAACTATAGAAATTAATTAAGGGGTTGCTGTTCCATGCACACTGACAAAAGTATTGCCACAGGATCAACGTTTATTTTGAACGCCCTAAACTGGTACAAAATTAATAACAAATAATTTAATATTTTATTCTCAGCCTTCTAGTGTTTTTTTTAAGGCCACTGCTGGTTGAGTTTCATTAGTAATAATTTCTTTAAACGTTCATGCAACTCATTCCATGCATGCTCAATTAGATTTAAATACCACAATAACGAAACAGGAAATTTCTTACATTATAATTTTCCATTCTTTTCCTGTAAATATTTTTTGGTATTTATAAGCATTATATCGTCTAAGATGAAATCTTGAGCCACTAATATTATAATTCACAATTTTCCAATAACGTGCAAGTGTCCAAGTACATTTATTAAAATTTTGTCAAGAAACGTTCCCGTTCTAAAGAAGTATCACTTTTTACACCGACAATATTTGTGAATTTGCAATTCCGAAATATCCATGAAAATGTTTGGTCGTTGTTGGGGCGTTCCAGCAGATCGGAGGATATAGTCACCCCGATGATAACAATAATAGTAATTAAGAAAAGGAAGAAGGTGTTGGGAAGCGCGGAAGCTCGCGAAACGACCGAAACGAGCCGATGCAAGAAAGGAAAAGGAAGAAACGGTCCGTCCGGGAATAGAGTCCGTGTCGAATGGGCATCAACGCGGGGCGTCCCGGCGTCAGGCGTCGTCGGCCGATTAGTCGCGGCCCGTGTAAAGCCACTCGACAATTTCAAGACGCACCGAGGCCATCGGCGGAAGAAACAGGCTTCGTTCTTTTTTTTCCTTTTTCTTACGCGCGTGTGTCGTCCGTCTCTGCATTTGCAGGCCGCGATGATGAATCTACGATAATCTAAAAATGTGACCGGTCTGCGGCTTTTTGCGTTTCACCCTCTTTCGAATTCCTCGCGCGAACGAGGAGAAACGCTGTCACGAGAGGGAAAATAATAGAAACAGTCGCGTGTCCGGGAATTCATTTTTTAGCCGCCTCGAAACAGGAGTCTCTGTTTGTCTGGATAAGTGTCGGGGATGGAAACGATCGAATCGGTTGAATTCGCCACAGGAGCGTGTAAAAATCACGACACGCCCCTGTGCATGAGTTTCAAACGTAACATTTATGCTACGATAGCCATTTTTTAATAAAACAATACAGAGAGGGAATGACTCACGAAAAAAAGAGCCTTGCAAACGAATCGAGTGTGAAATAACCAATGCGACGCGAGCCGGAGAGCGGTTCCTTTTGAACCCTGGCACGGCAAAACAAACCATAAACGAGGACGTGTGCGTTCGCCCGGTGAGACGGGGTTAGGCAGGTGACACGAGCATGGGGAATTAATAGTCGTTAGACACGATCTCGTAATTTGGTCCGCCTTATCCATGTATTGACACCCCGTTATTTCTCGACTTTCTGTTATTTTGTTGCCACGTTCCGCGGCTCCGATAACCAGCGGGATGTTAACGCAAAACAGGCAGGAAATTTAGCGTTGTGAATCGCTCTTTCCTGCCTCATTAAGACGCCGGTACGAGAGGTTGAACCGCCATGAAACAGAGAAACATCGAAACCCAACTTTACCTCAAAGTAGAGCGAGGAATTTAAAAAAAAAATCTATCGATATTGAAAAATATTTCTTCATCTTTCAACAAACAAGTCAAACTCCTCTGTTAGAAGTAAATACACTTGATGGTACTTCTATCGTTAAAGATTGTCTCATCCTGAAAAATAATTTTACCAAATATTTGATAACATCTACTTTATTGCTCGAAAGAATCATCTCCTTCCTAATCCTCGTTAACTAGATCTCAGATAATAAGAGACAGGGAAGTGCTAGACCATCCACTAAATAACTATCGTTAAAAATAAACATCGAAGGTTCGTTCCGCTTCCAGGCAAAACTAGTTCCGGATCCGACTGCGAGAGCGAGCCGGGAATCCCGTTGAAAAGGAAGCAGCGTAGAAGCAGAACGACCTTCACTGCCCACCAACTGGACGAGCTCGAAAGAGCTTTCGAGAGGACCCAGTACCCGGATATATACACCAGGGAGGAACTAGCGCAGAGGACCAAGTTGACGGAAGCTAGGATCCAAGTTTGGTTTAGCAACAGAAGAGCCAGACTCAGGAAACAGTTGTCGTCGACCACGTCTGGCGGTTACGTCAGTTCGGTGGCTTATCCCACGGCCTCCTACGTTCTTCATCCCCCGGGGGCGCCTCATCCTCACGCTGCAGCTACAGTTCCTCCAAGTCATCCACACCCCCATCCTCATGGACAGTCTCTGCCAGACACTACGTTCTCGTCCAGCCAAGGTGAGACAATTTTCATCGTCGAACGAGACTTCTAAGTTGCATTCTATGCCATAAGAGCATTTACAACGTTTTGTGCCTTCTATACTGTTTCATTTATAATTTAACAATATTAGAAATCAATACAAAGCAACAAAACAAGTAATATCGTTACAACAGTTGACTGAAACTTTGATTAAACTTTGGTAGAGAATTTTAGCAAATCATTAGGTGTTTTTCCTCGTTGCTTTCTAAACAAACCCTTCAAATGGTTTCCAAGTTTCATTCTCGTAGTTTGAATGTTCTGGTTTTCCTGAATTTTTTGTTCTCTTTCTCCTTGGTCGATAATTTATTTATTTACTTTCACATCTTCTTGCTCCCGTTTCAATTCACTTTTCTTGGCGTCAGGTAAAAGAGTTACTTTCAGAATTATTTTGTAAATATTATCAAAACTAGTAGATGGCTGCACGTCTGATGTCTTTCTTACGAAACGTTGCAACGCTTTGTTACTGTTGTTCGAAGAATATCCCGATTAATTGAAGTTTCTTTCAGTTCCAGAGCTATACTCCTCGCATCACAGCACGATGTCTCATCAGCTGACGCCGGATTCGGCTCGTTTACCTTCTTCCGTCGGTTCTACTGCTAGTTACGGTTTGCCACCATCGGTAACTTACCCAAGCTCGCTTTTACCTGCAACGTCCTCGACCAGTATGAGCCACATGACCCACCAGGGATCACCTGTGGCACCTGCGTCTTCGTCGGCTTACCAGCAACCCAGCAGCCATCAGCTACCACCGACCCCCAACTCGTTGGTGACTATGATGGGACCAAATTCAGGCAACTCGAACCCATCGTCCGATCAGTTGACCTCCTCGGATCTTCCGATAAGCTCGGTGTCGCCGGTGCAGCAGCAGCAGCAGCAACAACAACAACAAACTAGCCAAGGTAACACATCGCCCTCGTGGAACCTTCCAATCTCCAGCGGTAGCAGAATCGGACTGCCCAGTCCACCCTCGAGCCTACAACAACCCCACGTGCACCCCTCTCATCCCCATCAGGCTTTCGCTAGCCATTATAGCGCTCAGAGTTTTCAGCAACCCCCTAGACCAGCACCTCACCAACCTTTTTATAGTTGGTACTGAGATGACGCGTATGTCCAAATACAGTGGAACCTTGGTTAACAGGCTTCATCCAAAATCGAAATAGTCGAATGGTGGAATATCTTATAACGCAACTCTGCCAACTGACTTGGTTCGAAACAGTTCGAACAGTCTCGTTTTCTTTCTTATGCATTCAGAGCTCTGAGTACTCGTATTTAAACCCTCAATTGATAGAATGTAATCATTGCAATAAATTTTGACAGTATTGGAAAATGAACCAGCATACATAAAAGTACGAAACTGCAGAACATCGAGGCAGATAATTAATTAATTTACATGCAAAGTACAAATCTGCTATCGTAGAAATTATCGTTCCTGAGAAGAGTATTGATACAAACCTAATTACCTATGTAGTTAAATAAGAATTTTATTCTACCAATTGGGGGTTAAAGGAACCACCAAAGTAAGCACAGGCGTATAGCTATTGATAATAAATACATATTCGTGGATATAAGGTTTGAACGAATCGATCTACAGTAAAATAACAATTAAGGTAGTTCGATGAATCGGTGATACCTGTAAAATATTTGATTATAGTTCTGATTACATGTCTGTGTACTGGAAATTCACAGAACCAATATCACTGTCATTGGTGTTCTACTATATTTACGAATGTTTGAATTGTATTCGACTATGTTTTTGGCATACATGGCCGTCTGTTGTAGATAATAGACAGTCTGTAGATGTAGTTATTTATTTAAATATTCTATGAGAGGCAACAATCGAGAATGAAAATGAAATTCTGTGTGTCGTATCGTATGTATGAGCAAAGGACTGAACAATGTAAATTATTATAGGCTATAATCGAAGTACGTTTAACTATATTAATTTATTTTAATCTTTCATGAGAAAAATTAAAAGGAAATCGTATTTACATTTTGGTAAAGATAAAATGTAAAGGAAATTGTCAATTATGAAGAAAACATTTTTTTAGTAGCCATTCACTTCAATTTTTCGTATGGAATCTTATAGAATAGTATTAAAATTCGAATCATGAAAGAAAAGAATGTTTTATACAAAAGAAACAGAACTTAAATGACAGTTTCTTTACAATTCGAAGAACTGGTGTAAACAATGCCAATAAATCCACTTAGTATTTAAGTTTTGAATTTAGGTGAATAATGTAATATCGTTGTGTAAAAGTTAGAATAATTGTCTTTGTAAAAATCTTCCTTGTCTCGGGGACGAACGGGTCCAGTGATTGTATTTATATTTGCAGTCTAAAAATGTAAGTATTAAAGTAGAAATTGGCAAACACTGTCCATGTTTGAAGACAGTTTGCAGGCAACTGTCATGAAAGTAACGAGAGAATTTGTCACTTGTAAAAATTGTACATTTTCTTACATCATGTAGCTTAAATTAATACTGTAGGTAGTTAATTGTACAGTGTACATATTTACTTCCTTTATTCTCGGTTTTCGGGTTCTCCTTCGTAATGTTCTACTATTATGTTCTGGTGTGTAATACAGTGCGACCAAAAATTTATTAAAACTGTAAATAGTAGGTAGTTCTTAGGTTTGCAATTTCGATTAAGAATTTTATTTCGAACGTTTAGCGATAATTTTCTTATAGAGCAACTAAAATAATCAATTGATCGATTAACGATAAACTGATGATCGAGCCAATATTTAGTTATCAGAGATGCTATTAAATTGAAATTAGTAAATCGTTGGTTTAATTCTCGGACGATAAACCTGGGTCGTAACAGACCCATACTAAAGTCTCGTATTTCGGAATGAATTTCGTGTCCAATTATTTGCTTCTTTCCACGTGTGTATTATTATTTTGTAAGAAGGGAAGAACAAGGAAATATATTTACAATTTATGAATAATATTTATTTTAATTGTCTCATTTATTACATTGAATTTTTATTTTGCATTGTTATCTCCTTGTCCACTGAATCTTCAACGTTGCGATTGATTTTAGTCTGGAAGAGTCCCAAAATCATAGTATATAATCGTTCTCTAATTATTAGGTTATTTCGAGTATCTGAAAATTTGCTTTCTGCACAAAACTCGCTCGTTTTATCGTAACTGGCCAACGCCCATCAGAAACAATGTTAAGTATCGGTTAAAAAGTGACACAGGTTCGTCCACCGAGGGTTAAATACGAGTCAATGGAAATTAATAAATTATGAATCATGAGAAACACTGTCTGCTCAATTGTAAATTTTTAATTTCAACTTTAAAAAAATTTTACTGTATATTATTATGATATTTCAACGAATACATGTCGTATTAAATATTCTTAGGAATGCGCACGATCTATAAATAAAGTTTTGAACAAAAATATGTAATTACAAAGTGCCGATTAATCGAGTTCGAGCATCACATCATGTCTTTTCTTGTTTAGCAATCAATGACGAATTTCGTTTGTTCCCTAACCTCGTAAAGTGAAAAAAAAACCCCATAAAAATGGTCCAGTTTTCAAACGACGAAACGTGGTAGTACTAGAGACATTTTTGGGATGTTTCAAGGATGAGGACAAGTTTCTTTATAGTCCTTAATCTTTAATAGCGAATCTAGCTTCTATAATGTTGAATATGATTCCCATTAATCCTATAAATTGTGTTCATACACTCAATTATACCAAATTGATTTGGTAACACTGAGTGCAGGGAGTTTCGGCTAGTGAACTTAAAATGGCGCTCACACGCCAAACCATTGGCTAACGCCATCGGCTTAACGCCATCCGCCATAGAACGTGTCGAATAATCTGACTCAGAACTGGCATCAAACGCTATTTTTAATTTACTTACATTCGACATTTTACACGATCGTTCTCGTCAAATAAAACCTAAATTGCAAACACCATGGGACGTAAAAAATGTGAAGTTATGGGATGTACACTGGAGAGCACGAGGCTTCGAGCATTTCCCAACATCGTGACAGAAAGGGAACGTTGTTTAAAATGGATAGAGGCATGCGGCAATCCAGAATTGTTGTGCAAGAATGTATATAAGGACAAGAAAATTTGTGACGAGCATTTCGAAAGTCGCTTTAAATTACAAAGCCATTTAAGCAAATCGGCTGTACCTACTCTTCATCTACCAGGTATGTATACATATAAAAGACTTGTAATAAATTATGCATTGGCAGATAAATTGTAATAACTTGTGGATGTATTATACATTTACAGAATACAGAGATTTGAGCATTTTACAACAGAGAACAATTGAAACAACAGAGACAGTGGTAGTTATGAATACAGAAGTACATACTGGTAAGTAAATATGAAAATATATACCTATAAGATACACATGTTAATAAAATAAAATTCATAGTGTCTAAAGATTTTTGAGACATTTGTGTGCTAGCATTGTTCAGTTCTTAATATAGAGGCTTTTATGTTTAATCTATATTCATTTGAAAGTATTTAAATGTTTCGCAAGCATGGTGTTAATAGTATCCGGTAAACCTAAAAACCTCAATAATGAGAACCATTGTGTTTATAATATGAAATTGTATAACGTGTACTGTAATAATACATTATTTTTTTTTAACTTAAATTTTCCTACAGGCCTCAGCTGACCATTGCTGACCACTCCTGATACTTTTGACAATGTGTAATGATTGCTACTGACTGTTGCCAGCATCTGCTGATCTCTGCCTGCATGTGTTGGTCTTTGCTTGCCTCTACTGGTCTCCACTTGCTTCTGCTGACCACTGCTTGCCATTTCTAATACTTCCGACAACGTAAAAAGATTATTATTTGCTACTGCTTGCCTCTGCTGACCTCTGCCAGCATGTGCGGGTCTCTGCTTGCCTCTGCTGGCCTCTGCTGACCTATCCTGACCTATCCTGACCTATCCTGACCACTGCTGACAACTCCTGATACTTATGACAACATATAACGATTACTACTGGCTGCTGCCACCCTCCGCTGGCCTTTGCTCACCGCTACTGCCACCCACCGCTACTGCCACCCACCGCTGGCCTCTGCTCACGGCTGCTGACCACTCCCGATACTTCTGACAACGCATAACGATTACGACTGGCTACTGTCAACCTCTGCTGACCACCGCTTATATCTTTGACAACGTATAACGATTACTACTGACTACTGGCGGCCTCTGCTGGCCTCAGCTGACCACTACTGACCACCCCTGATGCTTCTGACAACGTATGACGATTACTACGTATTACTGCTTGTCCCTGTTGGTCTCTGCATGCCTCTGCTGGCCATAGCTGACCTCTGCTGGCCCCTGCTGACCACACCTGACCACTGCTGACCGTTGTTGCCAACTTCTGACATGATATATATGTATTAAAGCTTTGTATAATGTAAATCTATGACAATAAATGATATATTTCAAAGAATTCTCTGTGTTCTCATCATTCTTGCCTTCCTTTTCCTCTCCAAATCATTCCCATAGTTATAAGATACGTGCCATCTGTTCCCATATCATGTCCACCTGATGACAAAGTCTAAAACGAACCTAAAACCGCCACCGCCGCGTACCTGCTGCCAAAATCAAAAATTAACTTTCAAATTTCTCTCTTAAAAATTTTTGCCCGGAAAATTTCTAAGTACCTCGAAAAGATTTGAGGGGGGACCCGTTTAAATTTTGTCCTGAAACAATTGGAAAGTCCTGAAACAGCTGGAAAGTCCTGAAACAACTGGGAAGCCCTGAAACGCCTTGGAATTTTGGAAGTCCTGAAACAGCTGGAAAGTCCTGAAACAACTGGGAAGTCCTGAAACTCCTTGGAATTTTGGAAGCCCCGAGCCAGCTGGAAAGTCCTGAAACAACGGGAAAGGCCTGAGACAGCTGGAAAGTCCTGAAACGCCTTGGGATTTTGGAAGCCCCGAGCCAGCTGGAAAGTCCTGGAACAACTGGAAAGTCCTGAAACAACTGGAAAATCCTGAAACAGCTGGAATGCCCTGAAACAACTGGGAAGTCCTGGAATTTCTTGGAAACGTCGAAAATTCTTGGAAACCCTGAATTTTTAGCAAAGTTCTGAGTTTCAGGACTTCCTAGTGGGTTCAGGGAAACCAAGGAGTTTCAGGGAGTCTTATAACTAAGGTAATGATTTGGAGAGGAAAAGTAAGGTAAAAAATGATGTGAACACATAGAATTCTTTGTAATTATATCATTTATTGCCATAGATTTACATTATACAAAGTTTTAATACATATACATGATATCAGAAGTTGTCAACACTGGTCAGCGTTGGTCAGCAGTGGTCAGCAGTGGTCAGCACTAGTCAACAGAGGCCAGCAGAGGGATGCAGACGCATGCAGAGACCAGCAGTGACAAGTAGTAATAATTATACGTTGTTAGAAGAATCAGGGGTGGTCAGCAGAGTCCAGCGGAGGCTAGCCGTGGACAGCAGAGACCAGCAGCGGCAAGCAGTAGCCAGTCGTAATCGTTATACGTTGTCAGAAATACCAGGAAAGGTCAGCAGCGGTCAGCAGAGTCCAGCGAAGGTTGGCAGAAGTCAGTAGTAATCGTTATACGTTGTCAGAAATATAAGCGGTGGTCAGCAGAGGCTGGGAAGACTAGCAGTAGCCAGTCGTAATCGTCATACGTTATCAGAAGCATCAGGGGTGGTCAGTAGTGGCCAGCAAAGACCAGTAGAGGCCGCCAGTAGTCAGTAGTAATCGTTATACGTTGTGAGAGTTATAAGCTGTGGTCAGCAGAGGTTGGGAGAGGCTGACAGTTATAGCGTCTACGGCTATACACACAATAATGTTCAGGACGAGGTGGATGAATATTTGGTATATATTCCTTTATTTCTCAAAAAGTGTTAACAAATGTAACTAAACGTAAATCAACAACGTGTCTCCTCGAACTCTTCCGCGCGCGTTGTCCCAGCTACCTCATTGTAGCTAGAGTGGTCACTCGATGTTGGGAAAACCCTATTAATTCGCTGTCTGTCCACCAGGGGCATCACGGTGATGGCCGAGATGCGCCAACGTTCCGACTGGCGGCCACACAGTAGCCAGTCGGCGATACGAACTATTCCATGACAAACTTGGGCGTTTTAGCACCAGGGGGCCTGAGGTCGAAAATCAGCGCCATCTATCGTCGAAAATAACGAATTACTTTACTAAATTCATCAGATGAAGGAAAGCAAAATTCCTTCGATCTCCTAATTTAACTCTGCCAATCAATTGGCAAGAAATATGCAATTTTCAGGAGTTACTTTAAGAAGAGAAAAGCTAAACGATAGCTTGTAAGATCTCTGATAATTTAACATTTAAATTATAAAAGTTTGTATATTTGTTTAGCTTGCTAAACATGAAGAACGTCGAAAGAATTGATATTCTTCAGTGTCGATTATTTTCACTCGAACGAAATCGCGAACATTCCAGGAACATAAATAGATACGTGTTGCAAAATGTCAAAATTATCAAACTTACATGTTTTTTGTAAAAAAATAAGTTCTTAAGAGAACTAATAAAATGAAACTCGGGAATGGAATACCCCCTTAAAGACAAATCGAATAAAGTCGTTGTTCGAAAAGCAGCAGAACGAATATCAGAATGGCGGTAGAAAAGCTAAGTGTCGCGAGTGGCCTGGTCGACGAAGACACGCGGTCACGTAGCGCGGTGCACAAATATACACATAAGAGCACCTGAAGAGCGTTTTCTGCACTCCATCGAGAATGCCTTTAACGTCCCTCGTTGGGGATAAAAGGCTCGCACATACACAGAACGTCGTGTTTATCCATGTTCTTGTCGGATTCCTTTTCCATGCCATTTAAGCCGTTGCTATTCTCCGTCGCTTTTCGGCGTTGCTGCTACGATAACCGCGACGTCGAGTTTGATGGGACAGAAATCGTGATTATCATTATCAATTGTAAAGATATAACAACAATTCTGACTACGAGATAAACTTTTATCTTGCAAGGACATTTGATAAAATAAAAAATTTGTCAATGGTTGAATAACAAGTTTCCAGAACAATGAATTAGTAGAAGAGAAGCTATTAAATTTTTGTTTATAATATTCAAAAGAAAATAAAATATCCGTGAACCAAAGAATAGTACAGGGACCCAAAAATATTTGAGAGGAATCTTTTTAAAAATTGGGAACTGAGTTTCACAATTGTATTATTGCTTAACACAAGATACGTCTTCGTGATTATTTGACTTATTGCAATTGAGAATTCAATACCCCCTAACTTCGAAAGCTCTTAGCTGCGCCCAACCTTTGTCGACAACTCTACAAAGTGCATGGAATGCATCGAACGTATACAATTCACTACTATGAGATAGTAATATCGCGTATCTCTGAGGCGAAATAAGAATCTCGGTTAAATACCATCCACCATATTGTATCCGTAATCAATACACCGTTTGCACCGTTCTGACATCGCGTATACAACAAAAATCAAGTTCAACGAATGCATAAATTACTACAAATCGATCGAGAATATCTGGAACTGGCAGATACCTGCCATATTTCCGTTTTTTCGCATCCACTTAACAGTTATCCGCTGGATATCCTCCTGACTATATTAATTGGAGGTTCAAGTACTCAAAGACGAAAAAAAGCTGAAATTTTATCGAGTAACGTCATTAAGAAGGTTTTCAAAAATAATGAGGCATCGATTTTCGAAAAAGTGATAATAACAGCGGCTATAAATAATAAAAAGTGACGAAATTAGCAAAAGTCTTCGTAACTCGTGAACAAACGATCGAAGGTAATTATAAGTGTAATAAGTATTATCATTATCTACAAAATGAGATGTACGTTATAATCGACTCATTACGCAATGAAATTCCAGTTTTTATAATAATATTATAATTTGTACAAAATAAATTTTAAACTATGCAAAATTCATTTGTCATCCCTCGCCATGGCGTCCAAAAAAATTGAATCGCCAAACAGGAACCACGGTAAACTTGGGAGAAAAGATATCGAAGAGGTGGGTAAACAATATTTGTCCAGGCGTATTGGTTCGCAGCTTTTTCGCATCTGGCTATAAATCAACCCTTAACGCGCTCCCCTTTGTGATCATCGACGACGTCCTCGACTCTCCTCTCGCCGTTCCAGACTGGACGAGAAACTTTCCACTTTCTTCTATTTTCGTCGACTCGCGGTGCGTCTCCCTTTGTGTCTAGACCGATAGAGATAGAGATTTCTGTCTACCCCAGAAGAAAACTTGCCCTCGTAAAACGAACAACAATTCGATTCAACGTCCTACAGCCAACAGCCCCGAAGGTGAAGTTACCACAGAATAAGATTTTCATAAGATCCTTCGATCTTTTGCAAATCATTATCGCTGCTGACACTTTGGACTAGTTCAGATGGGAGTTGAAAACGTTTCTAGAAGAAGGACCCATAGATCTGTGGGTCCCTTTTTGGTGAATAGAAGCCTTCTTTGTTGCAAATCATTCAAATGGATAAAGAATAATGATTCACGAAAAATTGGTACAGTGTATGGATAATTGAAAGGCATTAAACGACTTTATTTTGTGATTATTGCACTTGGGGAGCTGTTTGGTTGCGGGTAGCATCTCGTGGAACTCGTAGGAGTAGATGGACATCAAAGTCCACTGCTTTCTAGCAGGCCCTGCCTTAGACGACTGGGATATTGGGAAGTTTTTTTGTTTTTTATCTCGTTTTCATGATTGTTCTGCAGTACCCTGGGCTGGAGCCCCATAATCTGCACTTAAAATGTTTGTTAGTGACTGTGATGTTTATGAGGATGTGTTATTGTGGTTTTCCTTGGGTTAGGGCTCGAGGGAAAGGTTTCAAAAACCTCGTTTGAATGCACCATACTAACCCAGACCTAACCTAACCCAGATCTAAGCTAACCCAGACCTAACCTAACCCAGACCTAACTTAACCCAGACCTAACCTAACCCAGACTTAACCCAAACTAATGTCTGGGAGTTGTATTCGTATCCTTAATGGTATATCTTTGGGGTTATATAATTCCCTAGTGTCGCTACTAGGGGGTTTTTGGATGCTGAGAGTTAGTAACTTGAGCTACAGGGCAGTCAGTTTCATGACATGTTCGCGGATATGCTCGATTTTTGCTTCCTCA